AAAGTTAAACTAGAGAAAAACTATAAACTTGTATCTCAATCTGGTATCACATACTCTCAGAATAGATAATACTGAGTCACAAGTGGTAAACTATAGCCTATATATACTAAACTAAAATACAGGCTAAGTGTAGTAAAAGTGAGAATACTGCAGGCTCTGCTAGGTTTATTTTAAAGATAAAGTAGTTCTAAATTGGTATGTTAAATATATATCAGAAAGACTATTTTCTAGAATTAAAAGAATAGTTGCCAATTGATATAGGCCTCAGAGTATATAGATACAAAGGTTAAAATAGATAACCTCTAGTTGGGTTACAGATATGACAACTAGTATAGAATCTAGAAATAGGCAAACTACTTAAATAGATGCTCAAAAGGTACAAGTATAGCTAGATATACTCTTCAAATATATATAATAACGGTCCTAATACAATAAAAGCATAACATGACCAAGAAGGTCACCTTAAAACCAAATATATATATATATATATATTTATTTATATAATATCTTTATTACCTTTATATCAGAGAAAAATCAAGTCTTAATATAAAAAATACTTTATTAATAAAAACTTTCAAACTAATTTTTATTTGTTATAACTTTAATTTTAAACCTAATAAACAAAAATACAGCAAAACATAATAGTAACAAATATCAAGTCACATTAACGCAAGCAGATATAGCTTTAATAATACGTATAGATGTTTCATAAATAATAGTCTTTCATCAAGCTTTCTCAACATAATACACACTATTTGTATTTTATTGCCAAAACAGAACTCTCAGATATAAAAGCACCATTTATAATATAATTTCGAAAATAACAATAAGAAATATCTACAGATTACACCAACTAACCAAAATATTATCAAATATAGCCATAAATCATCTATTTCTAGAGATATATTGGTATAACTTATACAGAATGTCCCCAGATTTTCAGATCAGACTACCTAGAAATCATGACCTGTAAGACAGAATTAATTAATTTTGTCCAAGATCACTAAAAGTTTTACTAATGAAGTCATAGCCATTCATTAATAAAGCTGCCTAGTTGATAATTTTGGCTCAGAAATTGACTTGTATTACTAAATATCTGCTTAAATCCTATAGATCTGATCTGGAAATTTGGAATTTTCTAGTAAAAATTGTATTGGTAAGTAAATCTACTTTCAGGCTTTAATTAAAGTTTATTAAAAATGGCATAGTATATCGTTCGCAATTACAAATATTATTTAACGTTAATTCCATATTTGAATTTATTAAATTACTATTTTCGAACACATCAATTATAACTTAAAAAAGTGAAATAAGAATATGAAATTAATCTAATCTTAATTTAATATAAGAAAAGAACTTACCAGGTTTATATTTCATTAGAGATTAGACTCGAGTAGACTCGAGTCAACTTGTAGCTTAAAAAATATAATTTTGACTTAAGTTAATTTGAGTTAAGACTGTTTTTTAAGCTATGAGTTGACTCAAGTCTAGTTTCTACTTTCATATTAGTTTTGCGATTAGTACAATATTATTCATTTTAAACCTTCGTATTTAGAATCAAATTAACCTTTTGCATCAAATATTTAATAAATTAACTTCATATATTGGGCATTATATCATTTTCAATATAATTTAAATAATATTTAAGATTATTCAAATCTAATTTAAATTTCTTCCTGACTCAGATTAGTATAGAATACTATTCAAAAAACTATAATATATATTGATCTGATCATAAATAAAATAAATAACAGTAAATACAGTAAATAAGAATAAAATAAATATATCATATGATTACAAACAAATTATTTTTAAATCAAATAATAGATAATTATACAAACCATGCCTAGTTACATGTAGGGATGATGATTTTCTATGGTGATTATTTTCTGCGATAATTTTGCTAAATAAAAATAGATACTTATTATTATAAAATTATCGCAAAAAATAATCACCACAGAAAATCATTGTCCCTAGTTACATGGTAAAAAATATCAATTAATAAATATAAATTGTGGATATCTAAGCTGATAATAAATCTATTAGAATCTTATTTATGCTTACCTTTACTTTAATAAAAATGAAATTTATAAACAAATATAGCTTTAATCACTTTCAATAATATCGTGCGCATAAAATTTTAATATTATTAATATCATACGCATGAAATTTTAATATTATTAATCTGATTCAGCTTTACTATTATTAGTAGCACTTTTAATACAAATATAATTTTAAGCAACAAAAAAATTATAAACTTTCTCAGAAAAAAAAAACTACAATGCCCAAGAAATCCGGTTTAAAACGAAATTCACGTACCTCCAATAAAGCAACTGCACAAGTATCTATAAGCAAAAAAGTATATGTACGAGCATCTACAAGCAAAAAAGCATCTGCACAAGTGTCTACAAGCAAAAAAGCACCTGCACAAGTGTCTACAAACAAAAAAGTATCTGCACAAGCATCTATAAGCAAAAAAACACCTGCACAAGTATCTATAAGCAAAAAAATACTTGCAAAAGCATCTTCTAGCATAAAAGCACCTGCACATGTGCCTATAGGTAAAAAAGTATCTACATCTTCAGGCAACAAAAAAGAATTTTCGTACAGGGTTTATGATGATTTGAATGATGATCTTGAAGACGTTAATGATTATGATGCACCTTTGAGTAATAGTGCTGAAGATACTCAATTTCATTCTCGCTTACCAAACTCCTATTCTCGTACTCGATCACCACGCTTCTGTTCTTATTCTCGATCACCACATTCTCATTCCTGATTACAAAATTCTCAACAAAGGTTTTTTATACACAACGCTCTTGTTCACAATCGAGAAGCACTTATTTCAGATCTCAGACTTTCTAATCACGATATTCTCGTTCTCCATCTAGATCTCAGCTTTTTCAATCACGACATTCTTGATATTCGCATTCCCCATCTAGATCTTAGCCTTCCCAATCACGACGTTCTCATTCCCTATTCAGATCTCAACCTCTTTAATCACGATGTTCTTGTTTCCTGACAAGATCTCAACCTTTCCAGTCAGAATGCTCTAGTTTCCCATCCAGATCTCAATCTTTCTAATCATACTCTTTGCCACATAGCCACAAAAAACTCATATTTAAATCAGAATATGAAGTAGTAGCATATGTTTCTGAATGACCAGATTTTTTAAAAATTGTGTCTCAAATGGCTTAATATGATGGGTTTAAAACTTCAAGTGATGAAAAATTTGTGGTTCTTACTCAACAAGTAAGTTACTTTTAATTATAGTAAAAACATATGGATTAGGTACTGAGAAAAGGAACCAAATTGCCGATTTTTTTTAAAAATCAGGTTTTAAGCTTAACTAATTTAAAATTAGTCATTTTTTTCTTAAGTAACAAATACTGTTATCTTAATAAATTTTGCTATATAACTTGTTAAAGTTTGTATTTTCTTATAATTTATTATAGAATTTATAATATTTTTTGCAAATCGTTTTTTTTTGTTACTTTTCTTTAGCACCAAACCCATATTATATGTTATAATATTGATTTTTACAAATTATCTTTTTGTCTTTAGGAGTCAACAACATTTCAAATATTTTTAAAATGTTTATTTTTTAGAACACAACACCTTACAAAGGAAATTATTATTAAATACATTAAATTATGCTTTCCATCTAAAAAATTAACACCTAAAAGCATCTCTGTTTTAAAAGGAGCTGCCCATACAGCATATCGAAGCTATAGGGATGCGCTTCGAACTGGGCTTGAAGAAATTGTGTGCATTTCATTGAGGATTTTAAGTAAGTAAAATATGTTTTTAATATATTAGATAATAATTGTAACTAATTATCAATTCATAGAATAGAAAATCTTTCTCAAGTTTAGCGATCTGATATTAATAATTATCTTCAAGAAGGTGTCTGGAGACCATTTCTTAGATATTTTTTCGAAGCAATTGATGAAGAAACAACATTTACTTTAGAATTCAAGGAAGTATAGCAGATGTTTATGTCAGAATATCTCGTAAAAATGATTGAAGAGACATTGAATAATAAAAACAAGCTAGTTAAAATTATCGACCTAGACTATTTTACTTTGGATTATGATATTTATGACGCTGGTAACATATTAGATCTAAATGACAAAGACTTTAAAATACTTCTGAAGAAAGAATTGGGTAACAAAAATAAAAAAAATAGAGATTAAGCAAAATTATTGTAATTTATTTAGACTAGACAGCTTTTTACTAATATCACGTACTATAGTATGACAAAATGCAAGAACATTCGCAAGCTTTTATCATAAAACTAACCAGAATAAATTAATAATTAAAGCTAAAATAGTAATTTACTAAATGTATATATGTATAATATTTATTTGTATGCAATCAGTATTAGCCACAAATATATTAAAATGATCCAAAAGAAATCATTTGCTTCTTACTTAGAGTATTTATATAAAAATTTATACATGTGAATAGAAATTAGTTAAACTAATAGATCAAGTCTAAAAGCTAGAAATTATTCGATCGAACAATAAATAACTAAATATTCTGATATTTAGCAATATCTTTTTGTGCAAAAAATTCCTTAATTTATGGATATGTAGCTCTGTCATGTTTATAGAAATTCGGGTCATGTAACTCTAAAAGAGTTATTCCCACATTATATGATATCTAAAAAAAATATAAAACTCATTATACATTGTATCTAAATAGAACTTTCACTAGAAATATATAAGAATTTATCCAAGTAACCTAAATATTTTAATAATATTTGTATACCATTTTTTTCTACAGGTAGAATCTCTAAATCTTATAATTCCAAAAGACCTTACTCTCGATAAATTGCATATGAAAGCTAAAACTATTAATTGAAGATAATTAGCAAGTATGAATACAATCAACTTAATATCAAGAAACAAATAAATATGCGTGCAAGACTAATATGATAATATAACGATTCAGTAACTACCTGTTGCTCACAAGAAAGATCAATCAGTTACTAAAACAAGATTAGCACAGATCTGTCATTACTTAAATATTTTCCTGGTGGCATGATACAAATTAGATAATGATAATAACTATAGTGATAATTATGCAGAGGTAATTATAATAACAATACATTATAAGAAATCTATACTAATAAGAAATGATTAAAATAAGGAATGCGATAATAAAGAGAAAAGATGTAGAGGTGCAAAAAAATCATGAGATAATACTGGTAAAGCAATTACTTTTCTTAAATTTATATACAATTGTTAATTCTCTCAACCTAGTACTTCCCATTCTGTATAGTTAAGTGTTATTGGTTAAAGAAAAAAATCAATATATTGAATAACATAATCTAAATACTATTCAATATGCTATTTAACTTCATTATTATATGACTTTGCGAAAATGTATGCTCATAATATACTCATAACATCATGTAATAATATTGAAGTTGAATAGCATATTAAATTATATTTTGAATAATATTTAGATTATGCTATTCAATATGTTGCTTTTTTTTAATTTTGATCACTGCTTACTTATATTTTTCAATTTTGTAATCTATATGTATTACAATTTAGATTCATGATATATTTTATAAAAATTGACCACTAATTTGTTAGGTACAAAATTCTATGATTCTTTCTTTTAATAAATTATACATAGCATGATTTAATTCTCTATTTCTAAGAATAATACTATAATTTTATAATACAACAACAGGTTTTATTACAGTTCTATTAATAATATATTATCGACGCTAACTCGATTGAGTTAGATATCCTATATCGATATATAATCTACATTTCGAAAAAACATCTAATTAGACACTTTATCTTGAATAAAATTAAATATAAATTCATTTAAGTCTCCGAATCAAAATCAAATAAAAGAAATTTAGGTAAAGTTATTGCCCAATTAATGTCATATGATGAGAAAACTGCTGATCCACAGCTTGCAAGCTGGTGTCACTTCTGAATAATATAACTGCCGATTAAACAATTATTTAAATAATATTTGGCTTAATTATATATGTATTGTTACAATCAGGGGAGAGACTTTGTATCAACCAGCCAATTTAGCTTAGAGTTGTAAGCATTAAAAGTAATAAACCAAGTATTTTATTATCATACAAAAGGTACCAAAAGTATTTATAATATATCTCAACAGTGTATCCAGTACACTATAGTTCTCTAAATTATCTCTTGTTTCAACTAATACCTTCCAAAGTACTAACACAAATATATTTAACTCACAAAAGCAAACTTTTAAAGCTTATTAAAGAACTAACTACCAGTATGCTACAATCCTCTATTAGACTTTAATTAAACTATCATGCAAAATGTAAAATATGACCTTATTTTAAAATATCGTAATGATCAATACAGAATTGAAAAGTTAGTTTCAAAAATTAACAGAAGATGTACTAAAGATTGTGTACTAGCCATAAGCAGTCTCTAAAGTTAAGGTAGAGATTAGAAGTAGCTCTACTTTACTATAAATGGTAAATTAATTATATTACTTGAGAATATCAAAAGTAATAATAATATTTACAAAAATTTTTTATTTAGAACATAAAGAGTGATCTTATCTTTTGTTGCCAAAAGTCTGGAAACTCAATAGGAAAATTCAAGTAATTCGTTGAAAGAACATATATAGTAGATTACTTGTAATTAATATAACAATGTCGCAAACTTATCTTGCTAGTATGTACTGTTGTATTTACTCACATATTGGTTGTTAGTCATGATGTATATTTAATCCAAATAGCTAAAGCTAATTTATAACTATAGTATAGTTATTTAGTTACTAAAAATAATCTTTGGGTCAGAACGACACATAGTAAATACTAGCTATTCAATAAGTATCATTCTTGATTCACATTATATTATAATTTGATGCAGTATCAAGAAAGATATTTTAAACAATAAGCAATGGTACAGTAAATATCTGGCATTTACTATGTGTCGTTTTAGCCCTGCTTTGGGTGCATGCTATGTATTAGATTTTATTCATATACGTACGTACATACATATTATCTTGGTTAGGAATTATTGGTAAGATTATGCTTTTTTTTGTTAGTACATGAAAGATAATATATTAATACTATATAATTTTCAATAAAAACCTTTTAAATTTTATATTATTATTAAATAAGAGATTGATTAAATTAATTATTACAATATTGGTAGAAGTTATTGATTGTTTAATACAGATATAATTGTTAGTATATAAATACTATATTAATAATTAGTAATTACAATCAATTCTTTTTTTGAAAAAAGAAACAAGATTACATACATTAAAGAAGTTTTCACAAGATTGCGTTGGATTTTTTTCTCTTCTGGTCATAGAGTATTGCTTAATTTGTAATACCAGTTTCGTGATGGTTTACATCTATATCTTAAAGACAAAAATTACTATTCATCCAGGCAGTGTAAGATGACTTTGACCGAATACCCAAAATACTTTAATTAATAACAGTTCTAAAAACAGTAATAATGGCTTTGAAGACATTAGCAAAATTTTTAAGCAGATATATATCGATATATAGCAGTTAATCGATATATATCGATTAAAAATTATCGATATATA